ATTCTTCTTTTTTCGTTGATGATTTTCTAATGCGAAGAAAATTTTTTTCATTCAAGTAGTTTGCAATTTTGTAAAACGTATTAGTCAAGCATAATAATAAAAGACTCAGGTATAAGATGGTGAAAAAAAACTTTAACAAAAATGTATTTCTGATATTTTTTTTCTTCTATTATATTAAGCAATAAACTCAAATCTAAATAGTGATTTAATGGCCGATGGAGTTATATATTCTATAGTATAGTTCACCTGTAAAATCTTTCTTTAGAATGTATTACTCCATCGGTTATTTAAATAACTATTTGAGTTAAGTGCATAGTTACTATTTATTCCAAGCACAAGAAAAAAAAAAAACAAAAGTTTAATTTTTTTTTTTTTTTTGTATTTTAGCTGTTATTATTTATGATCCTCAAAATAATGCTCAAGATACATTTGACATTATACAAAATGATACAAATATATTATCTTTATATGTTCAACGAACTATTGGTTCATTATTATTTCAATTAGCTAATGATCGTCGAACACATTTAAATATAACATTAGAACCAATAAATTCGAATTCTGATAATTCAAATCAAGACGATATATGGTATGGTTCTCGAGGTGCAATTATATTTATTGTTGTATCAACTTGTGTACTTATTTTTTCATGTTGTTCATGGTTTATTTTTTATTGTTTTCAACAAAATCGTTCTCGTTCAACTAAAGATCGTTTAGAAAATCGTTTAATTAATGCTGCTAAAAAAGCTTTAACAAAAATACCATTAGTAACTATAAATGAAAATATTCAAGCAGAAGAATCATGTGTTGTATGCTTAGATACAATCAAAGAAGGTGATATTGTACGAGAATTAAGTAAGTAGAAGAAAAATATCAAAGATGAAAAAATACAAAATAAAAAAAAATTTTTTTTTAGCTTGTCATCATAGATTTCATCAGCAATGTATTGATCCATGGTTAATTAATCATCGTCATTGTCCATTATGTAATCTTGATATACTTGCTGCATATCGTATATCAATAGGAGGATCAAGTGCTGATCGTAGTTCAATTATATCAGAACATCCAATACCAATTCATTATACATCACTTGCTACAACATCTCCAATACTACGTATTGAACATAATAATAATGATAATGCTGTACAACAACAACAAGTTATTAATCATATACGACCGCAACCAATTCCAACTATATCTGGTTTAATAAAAGATGATCTACATGGTGAAGAAAATCCATCATTTCGATTAGATCACGAACAATAACAGTTTCACATTTTATTTTTGTTACTTTTTTTTTTTTTGTATTTCTTCATGACAAATAAACAACAATTTTCATTCTTTTAGTAATGAATTTGAAACAAATAGCTTAGCAACTAAAATATTAGTTCGAATGAATTCACAAGAAGTATCAAATTTTAAAAAATTAATAACACTTCAACCATTACTTAAAGATGAACAACAAGATCGTATTACAATAATGATTTCAGGAAAAAAATTTATTGTACAAAATCGTCAAGTAAGAATTCGATTGATTTCAAGATTAAATAAATAAAAATTGAATCAATAAGTTTGTTTTTTTCTTTTTTAAAGATATGATATACCATCATCTTTTCTCTGTCGTATACTTTTAAATGACATACAATTCTTCATTTACACTTGATCGAAACTTTTTTGCTACTGATGTTTCGGTCACTATTGATTATGAGTTAATTGAGTATAAAAAGTGACACATATTAATCACAATAGTATTTCATCTAGCATGAGAACTCAGAAAGATGATATCTCAGTGACGATTGCAGTAGTCTTCTCGAAGTTTGTCGGCATTGTATTACATACCAGAGATGTACAGATAAAGATACAAATCGTAGTGTCATGAGCTTATGTAGTTCACAGATGAGCACGGAATAGGATGAGATTTTGATTTTTGTCCTGTCCTGCCGCCAGCCAGGACCGAGGTAGCTAGCAGGACAGAACAGAATAGAAAAACTTGTCCTGTGTTTATCTCTGATGTATTTCTTGTTCTTTATATATGAAGCGTCATTTGTTGAGTAAAGAAACAATCTAGAATTCGAAAACTTGTAGTGTCACGTATTATCGATACATTACACTAGATTCTAAGTTTTTAGGGTTCATATTCTTTTCAGAATACGATTTGTATTCTTACTTAAGCCGTCTTCGATTTTTACAGCTATAGTCTTTTTGAAACTGTCGAACTGTATAATCGATCCTGATACGGTCCTATGAAAAGTCACGGTTCTCCTGAAAAATAAAAGCAAAAATCTTATTGAAAAGTATTTTCTTCGAACATATGTCTTCATATTTTAGGTGCTAAAAATGTCATGCAAATCGGTTTTACCCCTCTTCAAGAATCAGAAATGGATAAAAAGAGGAGACCAAGTACGCTTAACGAGTTCTGGAAGTTTTTAATGTTTTGAATTCTCATGCTTTTAGTTTTCGAGATAAAATCTATTCATCAAACTGTTTGATAGGCAGGTAATTTTGACTTTGTAAATAGTTCTAAGTAATTAGAAATCTAATTTAGAAAGTTTATAAACAAACCTCAATGATGTAAACTTGAAAATATTATTTATACTTTTAATAATTAAAATAAAATATAAATAATTTCTTTATTTAGTTAAAAATATTTCCTGAAACATTATTGGGTAATGAAGATAAACGACGTCTATTCTACGATAATAAATTACATTTATATAGATTTAATCGACATCCATCCATATTTGAATCTATACTTTATTATTATTTAAATCCTGGAATTCTTATTCGGTAGATTTCTTTTGATTTTTCGAATTAGAAATTTGTTTTTCTTTTTAATAGACCACCTCATATTGAATCTGAAATTTTCTATGATGAACTTCGTTTTTGGAATATAAATGAAAGTCTTATGGAAACATTTATTGAAGATGACATGGTAAATTTTTTTTTCTGATTTATCAATTTTTTTCCAAAAAAAAAAAAGAAAGGAATATTAGATACCTTTAGATAATATTCGTTTTTTACCAGCAGAAAAATGGCGTCGAATTATTTGGAAAACTCTTATGTATCCAAAAAGTATTGATTTTCCATATAGTGAATTAGTAATAGGAACATGCATATTAGCAACATTATTATCATGTATACCATTTATAGGAGAGTTAGTTCTGATTTTGTTTTTTTTTTATATTTAATACTAAGAAAACAATTTTTAGAATTATACCGACAGTAACTGAATTAAATAAACTTCAAAATATACTTGGTGTCAAACAAATATATTTTCCATTATATATGCGTTCATTTTATATAATTGAAATTATTTCTATAATAATATTTACTATTGAATTAAATTTACGAATAATATCTGCACCAAAATTTTCATTGATTATTTATGATATAATTAATTTTCTTGATTTAGTAAAATATAAATTATTTTAAAAACAATAAAAAAAAGAATACAGAAAAAAAAAATTTTTTCGTTTTATTTTTTTTCTTCTTCTTTTCAGATAATTATTTTATCTGGTTCAATTTGTTTAATTAGTTATCATTTACATAATATTCGTCATATAAATAATTTTCTTTCATTTTATTATTGGTTACTTATTTTAAAATCATTTCGTATTTATCGATTAACAAGATATTTGTTACATTTAAGATTATTATATAAAGCAGTTGCTATTAGTTTAAATGAAGTTTGTGCATTGATTATTTCAGGTAAAATTTATTAATGAAAAAAAAAAACAAACAAACAATCAAGACTTGTTTTTGTTTCAGTTATATTCTGTATGTTACTATTTGGTGCATTGATTTATATCATCGATAATTCAGAACCGGAATCAAATACAAGAAATATCCTTGGTAAGAATAAGCATTTCTAATTAGCAAAGTAAAATAGTATGCTGTCCGATGATATCATACTTGATTTAAGGTTATATTAAATCAAATGTTGTCATCAGTTTGAACAGTGCTTAGATTTAAACATATATATCTGATTATTACTATACTGAATTCTTTTCGATTTTAAAGAAAGGATTTGTTTTTTCTACAAGGATAAATTAATGATACTTCATATTTTAGATGGATTTTGGCTTGCTTTTATTACATTAACTACGTTAGGTTATGGTGATATATATCCTCGTTCAGTAAGTAAAAAGGAAATAAAACAAATGTACATCATTTTTTTTTCTCGTATTTAGTTCGAAGCACGAATAGCTGCTGGTGTATGTGCTTTAATAGGAATTATTGTATTTAGGTATACAATAGACAAAACAAAAAAAAATAATATTATTACAATATATATATATTATTTTTTCTCTTAGTATGCCTACAACGATTATCTTTGTTAAATATACAAGGTTAATGCATAATAAATGGAAACACAATCGAAGTATTCATTATATTATTTCAACATAACTACTAGTACTTTTTGTTTTGATAATTTGCCAAACTTGTCCATATAACTATCATGTCTAGTATAATATATATATATATATATGTATATATAAAACAAACATAAAAAAATATTATAGTTATGAGTCTTTTTCTTTTCTTTCTCATTTATTTGTAATAATATATAAAAAGGGACGTTTCATATGAAGCGCAAGTCTACGATACGGATTGACGACAGATTCAATGTAAGCAAAAATCAATCATTTGATCAAATCAGATTGCAAAACTTTTTTGTTGTACGCACTTTTTCATGATTCTTTTGTATATACTTTTTAAAAGGCATACGAAAAAAAAAAAATGGAGACATACGCAACTGAAGCGTAACCATTGATGTGTAAAGATAAGATATGTTTATGCATGTATGTATGTCTATCACGCACGTTCACCTATTATCGAAGCAGTCAAAGATTGTTTTAGTATAAAGAGCACCTCGATATGGGATATATCGGTCATCATTTATCCGTTTAGTCCTATTAGTATCATATATACAGTCTTTTGTATTCATTTTTAGATAATAATAATAATAAGGATAATTTCCTTGTTAAAATAAACGAATTATGAGTCAATTACCGACATATAATAATGGAAATGATGGCCTTGTAATTCGACGTTATTCAGGTTTTCCACTCAATTCAACATTAGTTAGTTCTTATACACCAGATACAATTCGTAGTATTATTAGTCATGCTGCAGCTGGACAACCTTATTGTATGTAATTTATTTTCTATTGATTTTATTTTTTAAAATTTATTATTTTAGCAACGGCTGTTTGGATTCGTATTAATCGAGTTGGAATTCAAGTTAATGCACAAGACCCTCAAGTAGCTCGAACACGTATACCAGTCTTTATTCCAATTGGACTTGTACATGATATATTTATGTTACCAAATATAAATAATGTTATTTGTATTGTTTATGATGAATTACAATCAAATATGAAAGGTGTTTTATTATATGTTGTTCATCCATCTGATGCACAATTATTACGTGATGATTTTCGTATTGTTAAACAAGCAAATAATAGTCAACAAGTTCCACCCGTACCCTATTCAAGTCCATTCGATAATCGTTTTTCACAAGCAGGTGATATTTATCCATTTGGTAATAATCCAATGTATTCTCCACCAACACGAACTAAATCTCCAATGTCAAATGAACTTCATCGAAATACAGTAAATACTCGACAATCATCACCAAGACGTATTATACGTATTCGAGATAATGAAACAAATTTTAATCAAGCTTTAACACCAATGATACCTGAACTTGCTTATAATTCAATAAAAGATAGTTTTACTAATGGAGAAGATAGTCATCGACGTCATAAAAGTCAAAAAAGAGGTCAAACATCATCTTCACCAACTAAACGTTCAAATGATATTGCAATTAAACGTGAAAGAAAACATAGATCACGTTCACCTGATAAACGTTCAAGATCAAAATTACCTATTAGTAATAGTAGTCATGAACTAACATCAGAAGCATTTATACAACAACAACAACAATTACAACAACAATGGCTTATTCAACAACAACAACAACAACAATGGCTTCTACAACAACAACAACAACAACAACAAATGGCAGCTATGCAAACTGCTCAACAAACGCCACCAGTTCCTATTGGTATTTATAATCGGTATGTAATATATATATATATCTGTAAAAAGAAATTTCAATTTGGATTATTTTTTTTTTCTGTCTTAGTTACGTTCCAAAAACTATTCCATTACCAACAGGTGAAACACTTAAGACAGCTCTACCATCACCAGGCTTGAATGGTGCAGCAATGAATGGTACAGCTATAGCTTATATTGAACCACAACAAACTACTAATACCAATGATACTCATAATGTACCATCTCCTATGCCTTCAAATTCTTATCAACGTCAACAAAGAAATCGTTCATTAACTACTGCAGTATCACCTGTCTATATGCAATCGACGCATCATCATCATCATAGTCGTCATCATCATCATCGACATCTTGCTGATGATTATATAGAAGGTTTATCAAAACCTGATGCAAATAATATATATGGTAATGTAACACATACATCACGATCACGTCCAAAATATTCTGCATTAAAAGATAATCATAAAACAGAAGATAGTGAAGATGAAACAAAACAATATTTAAAAATGTTAGTTGATGAAATGCAAGCAATGAAAATTGAAATGAATAAAATACGACAATCAACTCTTGATACATCAAAAGGACGTTCAGATTCATTACAAGGAGATTTAAAAGAAATTCGTGCACACATTGATCGTATTCGTTCACGAATGGCTGCAACACCAAAAGTTTCTGAAAACTAAAATAAATTTCTTTTTTTTTCTCTTTTACTCTATTTTGTTATTATTTGTGTTAATTAACATAAATAATTCTTTTCATTTAGATTGAATAAATACTTTTTATTTATTTCATTATTCTATTAAATATACAAGAGAAATAAACTAAAAATTTTCTAAATTTAAACAAATATGATTTAACAAACAAAATAAATAATAATTAAAGAGAAATTTATTTAAGAAAATTTTATTACAATATTTGTTTTTTGTTTTATTTTAAAATACTTATTAATTTCAATAGGATACGAGATTAATTTTTAGTCTAATTACTATATCAAATTTCATATTTTATACTTTCGAAATTCGTTAGTATTTATCTTTACAATCAAAGAATTATCTTTTCATTGTATAATATTGATTCAGTTTTATAAAAATAATATTCAATTCGATTAAATATATCTGATGTCTAATAACGACTGCTATCTAAACTAAATATCAAAAACATTTTCTCTTCCATCATTTATTTTCTATGTATATTAACCTTGTATTCATCTTTATCTTAATACGGAATGGCAAGCAAAATTAATTTGACAAGGTTTGCTTTCAGTCCTTTTTTTTTTTTCGAATATTTTCATCTTAATGATTGAATCCTTACTGTCATACCGTGTTCCGTATCTGAAACATATTAACCCTTATAAAAGTGTATTTAAAGTATAAATGTACTCTTTTTTACTAGTTCAAAGATTAGGTACAATCCATCTTGTCACGTTTTCATCAAACCTAATGATTAATCACGGCTCATAAAAAACAAAAACAGCAGTAATTTCCTTCTATTTATTAAATGAAATTTTGAATTATTTTTCTATTAAAATAATATTTTCTATCTGAAAGAGATTGATAGCTGCTCAATAAAAAAAAGTCTTTAATATATGTAATCAACTTCGAAAATTAAACCAAAATAATCGACACGAGTTCTACAAGTGACATGAATGCGTTCAAATTTATGTAACCACATGATTTCGACTGAAAACTAACATGTTTCTAAGAGGTTAAGTGAGATACAAAAAAAGAAATCTAAGCGAAAGAAGCACGATTAATTGAACGATTGAGCATCTATGCATATGATAACTAGGAGTAAATTGACCCTGTATGTCTCATAATCTCAGATACAGTAATATGGTACCAGATACGATGTAATAATTTCACTGCAAATAGTTGCATATGTCTTGTGATCTCACTACGATATGACCGTATTTATGTAACAAATATGATGATGATATACACCCAATTTACTTATCGTATCTTCACCTTAGACGATTATATACAAATTGTATTGTTTGACCTGAGTACGATCGAGTTTTTCTCACGTCATCAAAATCGTGTCATCTTTGGTGACTAATCACAATTTGAGTAAGAAAAATTGTCAATTAATCGACGATTTTTTTAAATAGCAAAAAACTAAATCTTCGATCAATTAGTAATAATTCTGATATTAAAACAAGCTGTAATAGTAAATATTGTTAGATACAAGTAAATATTTTTTTTTCTCATCTGTTTAGATGATCTGATAATTAACGAGGAAATACCGATGTTTTTTTCTTTGGATAGATCTGTATCAAAACAGATTAATATTTTTGAAGTCTGTTAAAACTGTCAAATTCAAATCATTTTCAGTGCACTCTGATAATGTGATACATCTAATCTACAGTCTTCAAATCGATTCTAGCTACGAGATGAGATAAATGTATATTATAGATGACACTGCTTAAAATTTTTGATACCGAAGTATGTTTCGAAACTATTTTCTTCTCGGTAAATTTGAATTCTGAGGAATTGGAGTAGAAAATACTCTCTTCAATCATATATAAAGAGAGTACAAGGTCCGAAGCGTTAACGTCGATAGTGTGAACGAACAAATGACATAGACGGCTTGAATGACGTAGAATATCAAATCAATGTATCACAACGTATCATCCTTGACAGATTGAATGTCACCTTTTATATACAGAAAAGTTAGAGAGTGCATTATTTAGAATACTCACAAGCGTACTCCATCCATTCATCTTTCAACGAAAGCTTTGAAATGTTCTAGACTAATTGAAGTCTTGTTGTTTAGCATTTTTCTCATTATGGAGGAACTGTAACAGTGTAGTTATATGTATATCGACAAGACTGATAATCTTGAGAGATGAAATAATTAGTGAAGAAAAATACATCAATGACGTTGTTCGAGTAGCTCTAAAATTCAGCAACTAACCATTAAGAAAACTCCTGATCATATCAGTAAGATGTCATACACATAACCTGAGTCAAAAAAATATCCTTAATTTATTCCGAAGATCCCTTGGCCACTCAATTCATGTGGTTTATGTTCATTAGATTATAGAATGATTTGACTGAAACTATCTATTGAGAACGTATAAAAATAAGGGCAATATTGATAGATGAAGTAAAACTTTCAGTCAACAAACTTCAAAAATTAAAGTTTTGTACTTGATTTAGCTGTATGACTACATTTAATTCAAAACAAACGCAGGAAACTATATTCGTTAAATAAAATAAACTACTTTGTGTAGAATTTTAAAGCTCTATCTTTTAATTCAAAAAATGTTTTAATCAATTCGTAGAGAATTGTTTGCTCTATATCTAAATAAAATTATTTTAATGTGATGTAGATGTTGAAAAATCAAAGTTACTTCGTTAATATCATATGACATATGTTAAAATGAAAAATTTGATATTCCTATTTGTCAAAAAAATCAAAATCAGATTGACCTATATTTTTACTATTCACGAAAATAAACAACAATTAGAACGTTTTATTTCAAGAATTTCACGTTTAACATCTAGAAAACAAATAACTAAATATTTATATATTTATATGAAATGATTTTATGTCTTACTTGCATCAATAATTCGAATAACTCGAGTATTGAATAAACCAGTTTGAGTTATAAATTCTTCAAATTGACGTACACCACCTTGAACACCAAAATAGTATACTTTAGCTGCAAGATATCTATTTAAATAATATAAAATAACATTTTCTTTTTTTTTTTTCATTAAAAAAATTCGTCGAATTTTTCATTTAGAAAAACTTCAGTTACTTACATAATGCCTTGAGATTTTAGAGTATGATCGAATAATTTGACTAATTTTCTATAATTTCCAACATTATATATTGTTTCTGAAGTAAGAATAATATCATAACTTAAAAATAAAAAAGAATTTCATACTTAAATCTTTGTTTTTTTTTTGTTATATATTTATCCTTACTGTTTCGATGGTATAATATTTACTAAATCACCCCAATCACCAAAAAACATACGATTATTATAATTTCTTTTTTCTTTTTTTAATTGTGCTCCTGTTTGTTCAACTACTTCACGATTCTATATAAAACAGAAGACCAAAAATATATTCTTCTAATACGAATATTAACTTACAAAATCTTGAAAATCAACATGAAATTGTTTATATTTATTTAATTCCAATCCTGGTAGACCACTACCACAACCAAGCTATATGAATATTAGCAAAAAAAAAACGAAAATTTTTCTTATCTTGCTTACTTCTAAAACTGTTGTTATATCTTGAAAATTGTTGATAATAGATTTTAAATAATCAACTAAATCATGTGAACATTCCCAAGTTTTAAAACCACCTAAAAAGAATGTTTTTTTTTTGTTATATTTTTTATTTAAAATGATGTGATTTTTACCTTCATATATATTTGGTACAAGATCTGATCTGTATGAATCAAATTTTTTTCGACTATTTTCTTCATCTTCATTAGATTCATCTAAATAATTTCATAGTCTTTTATTAATAAAAATAATATTCATGAAAAAACAAAGGATGATATATATCATGACGACTTTAAGGAGCTATGAGGATAGATCTTATCTTAGAAAAACGCATGTTCGCATTTCGATTCAAAATCTTGCATAGAAACAAACTTCAAGTTGATGTACATGGTTCTGAATAAACATTTACGGAACTAAGTTCTATCAGTCTCGGTACCTTCTTTTTGAGCAGCGTCGATCCTCACGAGCGAGGCTGCTCTCGTAGATGTCTCTTCATTCAATAAAAAAACATCTTTAGCAAAATGGTCGCTGTGTAGTTTTCAATATGAGACGAAATGCAAAATGACCTAATACCTAACTAAACAAAACCGTGATATAGCTTTTGATTAATTGATCAACTTTCTAGAACAATTTTACTGCTTATAATGTTAAATTGATATTTTGTTGGAATCAGAGGTATAGATATATCATTGTGTATTTGCTTGAAATGAGTATACTTCTTTCGGCTAGAGACCATTTATAAATAATATAATTATTTGGCAATATTTTTATTTCTAAACCTCAGATAAAAGTCTCTGTTTATTTTTTTTTTGTAATTAAATCTAAAAGATAATCTAATAGTATTGTTTTATTCATTCAAAAATAGTCACAATTTCAAATGGTTTCCTCAAAAGTAGTGCGTGCGAAAGGGTGCCCCTCCCTTGCTTTGAGAATTTCGGGTCAGATTTTCTCCTAATGTAGAGAGATTACGAAGCGGTTTCCTTCGATTTTGAAAAAATATAATCGAACAAATTTTATAAATTTTCTATTACTTTCTCCGATTTTTGGATACCTCCCCTGCTCCGACCTTTTCTCGCTGCCTCTGGGTTTCCCAGGAGATTCTCGATCGAATTCCAGTCTAAAAAATCATGTTTAAAAAGATCCATTGTCTTAACTTGAAAACATAAGATATACCAGAGATAAGCATCGTGGTTAGAAATCTGTCGCCTCTGTGATGGTCGTCAAAAACCTGTTCCGTAACTGTGCGAAATTAGTACAGTTTTACAACTTCTCTAAAAAAAAATGAAGTTGCTATCATGGACAACTCTGCTTCATACAATAAATTTATAAAACAAAAATTTATTTATAAAAATCAATTCAATATGTTCATTTTAAGAAATTTGAGATTTCTTTTTTTTTTGTCTACAACCATACTTTGTAAATCATTTATATCAAAATAACCAAATTCTTGATTTGATAAACAAATATCATCTTCTTTCGTATTTGAATATTCATTGTTACTATTTTCATCAATATTAAAATTAAATTTAAACATATCTACAAAAAAAAGAACTAAGAAAATTTCATTGATCGTTTATCGTTTAGTTTTTGTTTGATTATCATTATCATCAGGAAATTTTCTTTTATATGAAAATAAATTTTTATTTGAAATAGGTTGTTTAGCATCGAGTAATCTTTTATGATTACGATATTTTGGATCATTTTGATGTTCACTTAAAAATTCATCAATACGAATTTTTAATTGTTGTGCAACAACTGGTTGTGTTATTTCAGTAAATGCTTCAAGTGTAAATGGATCTCGTGGTAAACGACACCAACGTATATCTTCATTAATACATTTTTCTAATGTTGTTCGATCAATAAGATTATCACTTGGTAATAACATTGGTATTAACATTAAATCATATGTTAATGCATCAAGAAATTCTAAAGGAATTTCATCATTTTTGGATGATGGAGAAGAATTTTTATTATTTATTGATAATAATTCTTTTGAAGGAGGTGAAAGAATTTGTTGAAGTTTAGTTTTTAATTCCATTGGTATAGAATTTGACGGCGTAGCCCATATTTGAAGATATTTTAAAGCACATGAAGAGAAACGCCATGTACGTTTAATTGTAATTTTAATTGTACTACAATTAATTAAATGTAAATTGGATGAGAAATGATATTTTTTTGTATTATTATGAGTTATTTGTTCATTATCATAATTGTATATTTCAATACGTTGTGTTGTTTCATCTTCATTTAAAATTTGAACAATACGATGAAATGAGATTTGTTTAATATTAAAAATATTTGATTTATTTATTGAATTTATTAACCAAGATGTTTTTTCATCAATTATTTGATGATTAACACTTATTTCAATTAATGTTGAACGATGATGTCCTATTGATGGACTAAGATAAATATGTTTTATATCAATATTAAAAGGAAATCGAATATAAATATCAATTGGTGGACGTTGTAATGGATCAGTTAGAAAACCATTACTAATTAAAAAGTATATTTTAGATTATATTCGAACAGTATTCAACACAAAAAAGCAAAACATTGATTTATTCATATTAACACATAAAGTTTAACTCAACTTACGAATATTTTTTTCTTCTTAGAAAAAATAGTAATGTTTTTGTTTTCAAAAACAAATCCAAAAACAAAATGTTGCTATACATGTGTTAATATGAAAAAAATGAAATCTTTGCTTTGTTGTGTACGTTGTTCATATATTTAATAAATATTTATTTTGAAGAAATACTTTTGTGAAAAATCTTTGGCAAGATTTTCAGCATGATAACCATCAAGTTGCATTTGAGGACATTCGAAAATTGGTTCAAATTGAGATGTACAAAAATTAATGAGCATTTTGTTTTCGAGAACTTCAGTATCATGAAAACTATTATGACATGTATTTTTTAACTCTCTCTTCTATTTTTTTATTAGTTTAGACCATAAATATTTTTGTCGATAGATGTCATAAGTTTATTATCTGAAATATAGAAAATTAATTTGAAGAATAATTAATAGAGATTCATTTAATAAGTGCTAATCTGTGAAGTTTTACAACTTATTTATCACTTCATTTTGAAAATCTTATAAAATCTTCAAATAAACATTTCAAAACGAGTTAAGAATTATTGTAACAATAATTTTTATAGACATCGAACTATTTATTATACATTACTATTGCCCATTTCAGAGTTAAATGGCCGTGGGCATTTTTGAATAACTTTAAAACAGAAAGAGAGAAGTAACTTGTGTTTTTCGTTCTATCTAGAGCCGACATTGCTCTATTTTCTTTTACAAAGTCAATGAAAAATTTCAGTCGCTTTTCTTGGTGAATATATTATGAATTTTGAAGATCAGCTTAATTCGCTTTGAACACAACATATTGTCTCAAATCTAATGTAATGAGTAGATAGCCCAGCTTCCCCTCTATCGATCCACATAAGGCGACTTATGAAATGTTTTTCAAAATTTTAGCAGCTAACACATATTGCCTACTACTAGCTTTTAGTAGCCTCTGTGTTCGTGACATGATCTATTCATCTTCGAAATGTTTTTTTCTATTGAAGAAGGTAATCAAAAGTCATATGTTGAGCTTATTCTGATGATAATGAATTAACATCTTCAGAAAGTTCTTGTCAATCTTTATTTTATTGCTATTCTCATTGGAATAATTCCCTCAATCCAAATCGGTGACCTGAAAAGAATTTGAAGATGTTTATGTAAATTAATCATAGAAGTCATTAATCATCGGCATCATCTGTACTGTAAACACTATATAATCATCATCATCATGACCATTTAGCTCTTCTTCTATCTCTTCAATATAAATATTGGCCTTCCTAAATCTTGTCTCATATTGTTTGAGGTGACTTATGTAGCTAGTTCCTTCTGTTGCACGTAAGCCATAATTTTTTCATTTGTTAGTTTGTTCACTTCAGTTACAATAAACTTGTTGTTTCTATCATGTATACATGTTTTCAGATGGAGCCCGACTAACTCAATATGGTTTAAGACACAGTAGCTCTCTGAAGAGATGTGGATGGGACGGTGACTGAAAAAAAACCACATCTATGCTTACACTCATACCCACATACCAAACACCCAATAAATGCTCTTCGATTACCTCTAAGGGTTAACAGATCACATCACGAAAATGAAGGCCACTAAAAGCTTGTAGTAGGCAATGTGTGTTAGCTGCTAAGGTTTTGAAAAACATTTCATAAGTAGCCGTTAGAAAAATCTTTATAGCTTTTGAATTCTAATAGCTATCGATCTTGGCCTTATGTGGATCGATAGAGACGAAGCTGGGCTCTCTGCTCATTACATTAGATTTAAGACAATATGTTGTTTTCAAAGCGAATTCAGCTCAGTTTCAAAATTCATAACATATTCACCAAGAAAAGCGACTGGAATTTTTCATTGACTTTGTAAAAAAAGATAGAGCAATATCGGCTCTAGATAGAAGGAAAAACACAGGTTACTTCTCTCTTTCTGTTTTAAAGTTATTCAAAAATGCCCACAGCCATTTAATGCTGAAACGGAGATTAGTATGTTTGTGTTTTGTTTTATTGATCATCGCTTCGAAGTATTTATTCTGAGTCCAATTAAAGGTCTTAATATGTTTTTTCAGTTGGTTCACATATAAATGGATAAGCTTTGCTGATTTTTCTACAAGGCAACGAAGTTTCTCTCGTAATAATGTGTATCTAACAAAGTAGAATTTAGGTAAAGCTAGCAGTGGATTCGAGTTTTTGGGAAAATATTCGCCTACAGACTTGTGCCAAAAAAGATGTTGATTGTGCTAGATAGAGCATCGAATGTACTATAGAATTCATACCTTTTAAAAAAATTTCTCGTAAGAAATGGCCAAAAATTGGAAAAAAGCCACTTTTCAAACACTGTTTTTAGCGAAAAAATCAGTATTTCGACCAAATATTTGTTTCAGACCTGTGCCAGTTTCAGAAAACGACTGTGCCAGATAGAACTCGATGAGATTTATCGATCGATATCAAATTCGACCTACTTCATCATCGAAATGGGTCTTCAGTTGTGCCCAGATCATTTGGCAGCAGATTCCGATTGATATTATGAGTGAATATTCACACAGAAAGTTGTGCCAATCAAGAAAACACTTGTGTCAGATAGATCTCATCGAGATCTATCGATTGAGTATACTGACTACTGTGGCCGTATTCAGGCAAAATGAGTAGTTGATATATGACTCGGTGTTCACCCCTAATTTTATGCAAAGAAAGACATTTTAAATGGTTAGATCACAGTAACATTTCAGATGAACTGCCATTTCTTCTCACTAAGCTGTTATCACATTTTATCTGACAATCGTTTAAAAATAGTTGTTAAACCAGATAGATATATTTTGAGTAATCAATGAAAAATCGAAATTTATAGTCTGACTCACTATTCTTTAGAAAGATAAAAGGTACACACAGTTTCAATACATGACAAGTTTTGTCTTGCGGTAACTGGAATTTTATTATGCTAGTTGTGTATTTGATTATAAAAAAATTTAATAATATCAGTACGATCTATTTAACATTATTTATTCATTTCATTATTGTTATATTCTCTGTATTCAAATATATCTGACTAACTAATTCTTATCATACGCGAAAGCCTTGCTTTTTATTTTTTGTTTAGTTGGGGAAATTTTTCGCAATAATTTTAGCGTTTGGGGAAATTTTTCGTTTTTATGGCAGGGTGTGGGTGTGGGTGTGGGGTGTGGGTGTGGGTGGGTGTGGGGTGTTGGTGGGGTGTGGGTGTGAATGGGGGTGTGGGTGTAGTTGAAAAAAGACACACACACCCACACCCACCCACGCTCACACCCACACCCACGCTCACACCCATACCCACACCCGCACCCACACCCCACACCCACACCACATCCACACCGATTTACATCAAACAATAGAAAAACATTTTTCTCCTTCATCTTTTCAAAAAGTTCATTCTACTTGTCGATTCGAAAATAAAATAAGTCAAATCAAGTCAAGTCAGACCAAGTCTGGTTAAAACTTAGGCAAAACATAAAATTTGTCAGCACCTTTCGTGCGAGGAATAGTTTTTATAGAGTTAGAATCCCGTTTTATGGTAAAAAATGCCTGAAATAAACGAAAATCGCTGACTATATGACTTGACTTGCCCAGCTCTGCTGCAGAGAATAAGAACAGAAACGATTGAAACAAACTAAAACCGAGTGTTATTTAACGAACAATTAATTCGTAGATGTTAAGAAGAATGCACTTTTTTCTTTGTCATTAAAGTTTTTCAAAAATAAATATTCAACTGCAAGAAACAAAAAGCGCAATTTTTAAAGCTTCCATATGAGGCAGATGAGCGCATAAAGCATGTGGAAATGCTCTCTCGTTGACTACAGAAGAATTTATTCCATTTGGTTTACAAAAAAAAATCGTAGAACACCGATTCTACTCGCTAATAGTCCATCTTATACGATTCCAATAAAAAGCTGATAATCAAATAAATTGATTCATTCTACATGAAATATGCAAAAAAAGACATTATGATCTTCAGTTTAATACAAAAAAAATCACAATTGCTAGATTTTCATCACTTAATAACGCATTGTTTATTAGTTAGAACATTTCATTCTTGCTGAAATGGTTTTTGTTCGACAAGACGCTCGCATGTCACTTTTCGATAACTTTCGCGTGCGGAAAATTTGATGCACTGTTCGTTACACATTTGCGGCTGCTCAATAATACGTTGATGTAAGGATGCTTATCAGGGATCCATGGTCAACATATTGTCAAACGCGTCCTATGAACAAACGGGTGATCATTTCATCTATTACGTTGCGTGCAAATGATCATTCACTTCATCCATTTCGTTCATCGTGTCCAATTTGGAGTTCTAGACAATGTTCACTTTTCGTAGTAAAGTCCGTCGCACTTCGCCTAAAATACGTTTGTGGAACTTCAGTAAACATCGCACTCGCATGCAAGATTTGAGTAATGTTGAATGACGCTTTCTGAAATTTTCCCACTGCTGAGAGGCTCAGGGATATGCTCAATGACGCAGGATAGCCGAAGCTGAATTAGACATGCCTGCTTCAGTACTTGATGCAAGAACATTGACTGTCGTGTCCATGAATCCATTTCCCGATTCTTCGTGAATTCCATTGCCGCTGCGCGATGAGCGACTTCGCAGAGTCATAAACCTTCGTCTTGATTTTCTTTCTATCAATATTTTGAAAAACGCGAGAGACAGTTACTTTTGAAAGTAACAGTAACTGCTCACCCCTTAATTGACACCGTATGTTTCTCTGTAATGAAATGATATATGGAGCTCCCGAATCTCTCATTTTGTAAGAAAAAATGTGTTCTATTCGAATTCATTGTCAAAAAACCAGTCCCAACTCTATTTCAATTTTTGTAGCCAAAATACTGAACTCGGCTGATGTTTTCAAGTCATTTTGGCTTGATCAATAAAATCTAATTAGAAATCGAAATATAGATTATTTTTCAAAGTTTTCTTTAATGAAAATGTTCAGAAGAAGCTTTTCTATCTGTGCATGTAACTTTCGAGCCAAACTACCATTGCTTTGGTGCGAAAATAACAAAAATACGATATCGAACCTATACTTGTAGCCAGACAAAAAACGGCCGTTTTTAATAAACTTTTATTTTCTCGAACTTGAAAGTCGTATTGAGCAAATCTGATTTCATGTTCGGACAGAGCATACTCGAATGCATGTAGTCACATAGATTTTGTTTTGAACAAGAGTGTAAAATAGTTGAGAGTGATCAAACAACTGAGTTCGAACAAGTGAACCTAAACTTTTGGCCACCATTGTATATCAACAGAAGTCTAGTCCACAC